CCCCAAAACCCCAAAACCCCAAAACCCCAAAACCCCTTACCATCAAGTCTCTAATGAATCAATTATATTATATTAAGAATGACTCATGTGTTCAATCCGAAGAGACACATTAGTCCAAATATTACATAAAAATATGAACAAGCATAGGTTAGTTTGTCTAGCTTAGAATCCAACTTGTACTTCTCTTTGTGGACAGCCATTATGAAGAAGGAGCCAGGCCCAATCCACATTGAGAAACTTCCAAGAGTGGACCCAACAACTCCGAAGAAGAAGGTCACGTCTTGCACAGTAACAGAGAGGATCAGGACTGACAAGTAGCATATGATAGTGACCAAGTAGTAATAGCCAGGCTTCATGTTCAAGTACTCCTTTGGGTTAATCGTCTTTGCATTGTTTAATTCCTGAATCCCTTTCAAATTTGGGTGAAGGTCTAAATTATTTTCTTGGTGAATATTGTCAACCTGGTTTCTCCTTTCACCAAAATTTTCTAAATTTTCAATGTCATGAACTTTGGCACTTTTAGAATGTTTCTGAGATTCTTTGAAATTCTGTTTAGAGTAGCTCTTCCGTGTAATCTCATCGAATATTATTAAAGCTCCTTCTTTTCCAACAAAGAAGATTCCAGGAATCGTTAGTGTTGGAATCAATACAAATGCGAACTCCATTAGAGCAGGGAGGATTCCTTCTTCAGTTGCATTTGATTTTAGAAGGTTTTTCTCTATCTCATCTCCATATAAAGCTGCTGCGATGAAAATAGTAATGTTGAAAACGATATACAATGTGATTCTTCCAAATAAGTCTCCTAAAATTCCATTTCTGTTAGTCTTATTCTTTAATGATGAGAATGCTGTGAAGTAGGCCGACTGGAACCCGTGTGAGGTGAATAGAGTTGGAAGCACTGCAAAGAATCTTATGTTGAATCGTGTCTTCAAAATATCGACCTTTCCTGTTGGAGGATTATCCCTTACAATTGAATGGATTAGAAAAATTATAAGGAATATCATACAAATGCATATTTGCATGAATCCAAAATACCTGAGACTGTGCATCTCTTTTTTAAGTACAAAATATAGCAATACAATGCAAATGAATCCTTGTGTTCAGAGTCTTGATGCTAAGAACGAATTTCTGTCTACTCCTAGCCTCTCTAGCAGATTAGCAGAGACATCACCAAAAACTATCAAGAAAATTATGATGAAGCCCAAATTTCCAAGAGCAATCAGGAAGTTGAAGAGATAGATTCCTGTTCTTCCATAAGAATAGATGCCAAGATCTGATAAAGAGGCTCTTCCTGTAATATCTTTCGCCTTGAGGAACATCCAGCATGAGAGCACACCGAGAGGCAAATACATAGTCTGTAATATGAAGGTTAGTAAGAATCCAATATGCTCTGCAGCATATGAGATTCCAACGATTCCTCCGGACACTCGAATACTGATGAGTGTGAGAGTGAAGAATATCAGACCCATGCCACTTTTCTTCTCTACTTTTTCTTCTTTGGGGCTCCCTTCCACAGTTTGTGGAGGGGAGCTAGAAACACTGTTTTGATTATTTACCATTAAACTTAAAATTTAATATCTGACGTTGAATTTATAATTTAATCGGATGTGTGTACGAATTTTTCAACAAAATAATGCAAAAAAGGGGTTTTGGGGTTTTGGGGTTTTGGGGTTTTGGGG